AAAATTATTTTTAAGTACTTGTAATTATCAATTTAAATAAATTTAGGCAATTTTTTATTTACCTGATTTTGATGCTTAAGAAAGCCATGTGGCCTTGATGATATAAAAAAAATTGTACACATTATTCTATGTTTAATGATCTTTCAGAAAACATAAAAATTTTGATCTGCAAGTATATGGATTTCCATATATGGTTAACAGGGCACAGGCCCCACTATTTTGTAGCAGAATCTTGCCGTACATTTTTTACTACCTTTCAGACTAGCTGGAACGATGAAAATTTTGGTATTTATGTAGTGTCAATAAATGTGCATTTTAAAATTAAAAAAGGGCCCAAGACACTAGGGAAGGGGGCTGGAGGGATGTGCCCCACTTTTTTGACCGGAATCTTGAGATGGATTTTTCAGTATCTTCCAGACAAGCGTGAGCTTTGAAACTTTCAGCATTTGTGTAGTCCTGATGAACATGCGTTAAAATAGTTTCAGGTCAGACGACCAGAAGGTCCATGGGGCTGGGGCACCAGGGACCATGCCCCGCTTATTTTCTCAAAAAAACATTTTTTTTTTTTTGTCTTAAATTTAAGATAACTTTGAAACTATTGTAATCAACTATTTTATTTTATTATGCTTGTTCCATTTTACTTCATTATTTATAAAATAAAATACAAAAAGAGAAATTGTCAAGATAATGCTAAGATTAGCTTAGATGCATCGACGGTCAAAGTATACAAATGTCCATTTGTTGTTACAGGTGCATCAATTATACAAGTTATGTTGGTAGTTGGAACCCAACACTCATCTACTTTTCTGCCACTGATTGAATGACACCTCCTCGTCATTGTCATTATCAATTAGTTGTGCACGGTAGACTTTTAACAAAAGTAAAAAGAAAAACTAAGCTGCGTTTTTCTACTGTAGTATTTTTTTAATATACAGCAAAATAAATTTTTTTGTATTATTTTTCTAAACATCGCAAAAAAAAAATGTGTAAAAAGAAAAAATGATAAATAATTTTTATAGGAGCAACTTGTTTTTTACAGATATCTTAATCATTTTTCGATTTATATATCTTACTTATATTTCTTTTGTTTTTAAATTAAAACAAATATTAAAGCTTTACTTACGAATCTTATGATTTTCCTACGAGTGTTATACATTTTATAGAACGTTATGTATACGGTCTCTCATTTTTGTGCAAAAGAGCGCAATATTATATATTCTGAATCTTACTTATTTTTATTTAAACAATCGGAACTTTTTTCTAACTTCTCTGGTTATTTTTACGCTATGATATTTTTTCTTTTCCCGTCGAAAAAAAGTATTAACATTTAATTTCATAAACTGACAGTATTAATTAGAGATATATGATGAATTGTTAACTTTTTTTATTATAAAAATTTTTTGATTACGCTGATTTATTTTAAATTGCTAAATTTGCTAAATTGGATACGGATAAAAAGGAAATATCATTTTATTTTACATTTGATTTTTGATGAAACTTTTAAATGTCGGCAACTCCATACCAATTAGAACCTGTTAAGGTTATGAAAAAAAATTCAAGAATACACTAAACAATACAGTTGACAGTAGTATCAGATATGCAAGTTCGTGAAAGGATTTGTGAGATCTTGATTTTGTATTAAAAGTACAATTAATAACAATACAAGTCGGCATTATAAATTTTGAGTATTAGTTTACTGTTCAATATTTTATAACCATCAAATAAAAACATGAAGTTTGTATATTTTCGCCCGTTTTATACAACTAATATTTAACAAAAATACGGACAAATTATTTTTATATAACGCAATAACTAACACATTAGTTAATGGCAATAATTCAAGATAAATGGTAATTTAAATTGTCAAAATGTCATAACATGCATTAAAAAACATATTATATTAGGTATTTCCCAATTTGTATCGTATTTGGCATTTGTCTCTTAACATGAAAAATTTTAAAACACAACAAATGCAAATTTTTCAAGCAATTTTCTCTTCCAATTTTCATTTATTCAAAGAAAAGTTACTATTAAACTTTTATTTCTCTCATCTGAAAAAAGAACAAGTGACACAAAAAAAAAAAAAAAAAAAAAAAATCTATACAACTCTTTTATTCATTCGAAGTTTAATTACGTGAAACTTTTCTTTCTCTTTTGTTCCACTCATAAAAAGAGCGAGCGATGAAATAAAAACTTTTCTTTCTTAACATAAATTTATACTTAGAGATAAAATTAAATTAGAAATAAAGCAACAATGAACAAAGCAACTAACAGATTAATCTGGGACTATTTTGATATTTATGAAAATAATCAACATAAACAACATTACCAACAGCAATTATCAAATAAACAACACAAAATCGCATAATTTTAGGGGCTTTTTATTTTTATTGCTTAGTCGTTCTAAATAATAAGTAAATTTAGTTCAAGTTAGTATTTCAATATTTACAGTTGCAATATAATAAAGAAATGATGTTCAATGTTGAACCTTTTTATTTAATTATTTATTTTTTACCTACATTTGTTATAAAAAACTTTTAAACCCCCGTCATTAAAATAATTTGTTTTGAATATATTTCAATATGATTATTCAAACTAATTTTTTTCGCTTGACTTCCTGAACTTCATGCAAAGCAAATTGAGACGAAATATTATCTAACCAAATAAAAATGCTTTTACTAATTTTATATGGGTAATTAATG